CCAGGTATTGCTGGGATTGTAGTTGCAGCCAGTTTAGAGGCTTAGGACAGCCAGTGCTTCCAGCAGGTCCCCAGCACAGACACCCACACTAGCATCCAAAATATAGGACCCAGTTCTTTATGTCTCTGGGAACTGTAGAAGCAACTGGCCTGTGTGGGCTTGTAGGTGCTGTGCTGTTGACAACTGCATCTTCTGTAAAACTTGAGCTTTGCCCGGTGCTTTACAGAGCCCTCTGGGCTAGTGAGAGATCAGTTTCAGTGCTACCCAAGAAGAGCGCATTTTAGCTGAGAAAGCAGACGTGAGAAACTGGCTTCAAGTAGTGCAAATAAATGTTCTCATCCCTAATGTGCCTGGAAATGGTTTCCAGGATGAGCTGCTCCATCACCTTCCCAGGGATTGAGGTTTAATCTTCTTAGATTACTAACATGGAGTAAAATGTAACAGCAGTTTCTATATAAATAACAAGTATATGGCGTGTTGCTGCTTTCAGAATGCAAACGTGCAACAGAAGATAGAGTGCCTGATCAGCAAGGGTGTGTTAAGGTTTTCTTCTGATGCATTATAGAAGACCTTAAACAACTCAATCTTCCATCACCTGTTCCACCTAAAGTGCTAGTTACCACACTAAATAAAATCAGCAAACTGAAGTTCACAGTCTTTTTTTCCTCTTCCTCTCCCTCCAGGAACAAAGCTTACTATGCTGTCCTTTTTAAAGCTGTGAGATTATCTGTATCAGTTGCTAAAATGTAATTAACTGATTGCCTGCAAAGGGGATGGATACTGCCAGTGGTTCATCCAATGGTTTTAAGAAAATGTAGGGAGATCCAGTATCATGTGATTATTTTTTCCCCCCAGTGCTTTACTTTGATACATTGAACAAGACAAATAAACACTTTTTAATTTCATGTATGTATTTAATAGCATTTTCCAATAAATGATAGTGATTGGTAACTGATAAATGGCCATGTATGCTGTCCATCAGCTTCAAAGCACTTCAAGTTCAGACTAAAACCAAATCTCATTTTTGCATTAAAAACTTCAATTGCTTTCAGAAATTGATTGATAAGATAGAAATGTTGTGGAGGCAGATGCTTTCTTGGTTTTTGGCCACCTGATCCATTACCAGCCTTGGATCACCTTGCGTAAACTCTCAATGTTACAACAGGTTGGGGTTTGTTTTTTTTTTAGCCCAACTATTTCCAATAAGGCTTTCAATTAAAATCCATAAGGAATTTCCTTGCCTATTAAATGTTTATAAAGTAAATGAAGATGAAAAGTAGTCAGACACAGCAATAATAAATACCAGACTTTACAGAGTTTAATTAAACTCTACTCAGGCTCTAGCTAATAGTGATCAGATAAATACAGAAAGGATGACACTGAAGCAAGTTTAACTCCTACAGCTAGACTTCCTAGAAACAGCGTGCACAAAATTAGCCCAAATATATTAAAGCAGTGCTTAGCCTTTTATTCAATACAGGAAGAAGAGGAAAAACCCCAAACTATCCTGTGCAATGTTATTATAATTGCTTTCTTTTACAACCAACTAAATGAATCCTGAAAAGTTAAAGCAAGTTTTACTGTAGTAGTTGTTGTTCTCCCATTATTTTCTGTCTGTGTGAATTAGTGTTTGATTTCACAGCTCATTTTCCAGTATCTGACAGTGGCAGGAATGGTGTGTTGAAGGACGGTACTTAAAAAAGTCTGTTAGGAGGAAATGAATCAATCATTAATACACAGAACACACCCTCCTATTTCTGACAGGCTGTGAAAAACTCTGGAACAGCAACTCACTGGTTAAGAAAAGGGAGAGTCCCAGCAGCAAAAGTTGGAAAATAAAACTGAAGGAAAAAGAACGGAACATAGTTTCTGATAGGGGATGGGAACTGAACACTAGCAATACTTGTGCTGACATAGCGGCTGCAGAGTCTTTTGTTCTATGTAGTACAATTTTAGCTCCTTATTTCAGCAGGTTTACATGGCTTCCTTTTTTTTTTAATACAAAATAAGTAGGGGTTTTTTTTGTATGAGACCAAATGTTTATTAAGTTTTGCTATTTTATGGTACGATTTGATTACAGTAATTCTGTTGTCAACCACCGTGTTACTCCACTTCTACAGATTTTTAAGCAGAGTTCAGATACAAGAGTGTTTTTATCGCCGTTAGGGTGTGAGTCAGATCTTTCTGTTCTCTCAGCTGCTAATCTATGGTCCATTCCCCAAGCCAGCTCTCTGCCCTTCCCTCTTCCCCTCCCATTTGGTGGAGGTATGTGCCATGGAGGAGAAAGGACCGGCCACTGGCGGCACTGCCTTCTTCCTCCACCATGCCCCTGGCTGCCTCTCCCCACTCTGGTGCTGTCACAGCCCTGTGTGAGACAAAGGCAGTGCCACCAGACAGACGTTCTGCAGCTCTTGCTACCTTCTCCAGTGTCACTGCCTGAAGCCATGCCTCCCTGCCTGCCTGCCTGCTGCAGCCCATCCTCTTGGACACCTCAGGTGAGTCCAGGGAGAGCCGGTAAGGACTTGCTGCTGTCTCCTCACCTCTTCTTTAGCACTGCCATGCCTATGATCTTGCACCCACCGAAAGCAAGCTATTGCTCTTTCACCAGTGAGATGTTCAGGCACACAACAGGAAGGTCTACTGAGCCCAAAGGATTTGTTTGCCCAGGAGAAAAAGCATTCTTGAGCCTCAGCTACTGCTGGCCTCCCAAAAATGCTCACAGAAGTCCCCCTAACAAAAGCTATGAGAAAGTCCAGCCCTACTTTGAAGTAGGATCTTCCGAGTTGTGAGGATTTTGAAACAAAACCATTTTTCTGCAAATGTAACCTTTTGAAATAACTTCCTTTGTGATGAGACATCATCAGCTTCGTCTGCATTTATAATATCAAGAATTGGAAAAAGAAATTTGAATGGACTGAAGGGATAAAGCAACACTGTTACACATTTAAGGTTTGCACCTGTGTTTTAGCTGTAGACACCATCGAGTGCTTCTTAAGCATTTTAATATCAAAGAGGTTATTTTCTTTTTACTTGAATGAGACTTGGTTTTTAACCTGTAGTTACATACAATAAGCATCTCGCACCAACGCATCATCAGGCAGCAGTACCTCCCTTAGCAGCTCAGAGCTCAGGCACCCGGATACAGTCAAGCAGTTGAAAGAACGTGGGCTCCAGCCTAGCTCAGAGTTTGCATGACATTTTCTTCTTAACATCACATTTTAATTCCAAGACAAGTATTTCTGGAATTATTTACACCTCTTACAGAAGCACAAACCAAAATGACAAAATGTCTCTTAACAGTATTATGACCAAGCAGTGCTACAGAACTTGTGGGTTTTTTTGTTGTGTTTGTTGTCTGGGTTTTTTTTTTTTGGACGAAGCCAAGTGAATTCAATTTGCATGAACAAGGAAAACAATGCATTAAGGGAATATACACACAACTTTCCAGCTCCTGATGAAAATACAAGCCTAGCTGTAGAATGTGCATTTGACATTGTTTGCAACCATTTTCCCCCTATTCTGGAACTTGTAATTTAAATCACTGCTAGCTGGGCATGACTGTGCAGCACCTGCTCTTCCTCCTGCTGTTGTCATTAAAAGAATGATTTTAAAATTCCTTCTGGTTTGCCTTATGCCAAAAATCTGTATATCAAAAAATACCCCTCAGCAGTGTCTCTGAAGAGCCTGCTCTCGTGAGAACTGCAGTAATACAACATTTCCTTAATCCAAGTAATGATAAAACTGTAAGAATATTCAGATCATCGTAGTTCATTAACAGCAATCATTTAAAAAGCATTTTTTATTTGAAGCAGTCTGGAAATATTTGTGTGATTAATGGGGGAGAAGAGAACACACTTGCTTCACGCTGTATTTGTAATGATCATTAGGTACTACTAACTCTTGATTTAATGGAAGAGTAGCTCTTGGGTTTGAGAATTTACTCTGATTCAGAAATTCTGTCTGGTTTGGCTGCAACAGAATCCATTTAGTAACTGCATTATCCACTAAAACCAGGATTATTTTTCTATTTTTTTATAATAATGGGTTTGGCAAGAAAGTCAGCTGAGAAGAGTTTGGTTGGTTTGTGGGATTTTGTTGTTGTTTGTTTTTAATGTCATCTACTGGCAGATACGACTTTTGCAGCTTTCACTAGTTCATGCATCAGGTGATAGGACTGTCACATGAACACAGAGTCAACTGGAAATGTACATGGACAATTCACCCCAGAAAACGAAGTCCCTGTGGTTTGGAAGAAAGAAAGGCTGGAAGCCCATCTTCAGCTGTCCCACTGCTACTGAGCAAACTCCCTGTGATTTAACTGGCCTCGACTGTTATTATGCCTACTAATTTCAGGCGATACTTGTGAGGCAGGTTCATAACCTGGTTTCAAACAGGGCCCAGTGTCAGCTCACTACCACAGTCTTTCTGTATGGACCTGTCCCTGGCCCCACAGAGATCCTGCTTGGGCACAGGCTCCCCTAGGCCAGGGTTGGCTTTGCATGAAGGAATCCACATTTCAGATGGCTATGATTAATAATCATTTCCCAGACTAAACAAAGGCCATTTTTAGCAACAAAAGGTGAATGCAGGCCCCTTAGGTGGGAAGCGTTATTTTTTTTATTGAGTGTTAAATCAAACTCTTGACCCAGTGGGATAACAGATACTTCAATTTAAGCATATGCTTAAGTAATTTATGAGAGAAAGAACAGTGTCTGATATCTTGCCAGATACTGCTCATAGTGAAAATTAATGTTTTGCTCTAAACTTTGAGAAAATTCTCTTCCCATTCTGACAACTGCACCTATACAAGACATTAGTTCTTACCCAGTCCTACAGAAGTGGTAGTTATTTCCAGCCCTAGGAAAAAATGCAGGAGATGATGCACACCGCTGAAGTGCGCTTCAGAAAACAAAGTCTAGTCAAGCATAATCACAAAAGTGATCTTCTTCGTTTTAAAAAAGTGGAACAAGGAGTTAAGATTTACCCTTGGGATGATTCTGATTTGAATTAAAGACTGAATTAAGATTAAAGTTCAGTAGTTAAATGCTTAACAGAAATCTATGGGATGTTGATAAATCGGTTGTTCCGTTTGCCATGTGTATAAATATGCTGTGATTTATGGCTCATTAATTTTTCTGTGATTTCCCCCTTCTTCCCATTCACCCTAACCCTATCTATCCTACCACAGCAGCCACAGGTTTATTGTGCCTGTTACAATGCTTTGCTGTCATTGAAGATATTTATTCAGTTGTTTGTGTGAAAGGTAAGAAACAAAAATATAGAGGGTGTTGAGGGAAACAGGTTAGTTCTACTACTGTCATAATATGCTAAAAAACTAATAGTAGTATGAAAAATAGAGCTTCTTGTTTATTAACATCCTGAATTTGACTACCAGCCATGTTCGTAATATGCTTTGAAAACATTTTGGGGCAGTTTTTCTTAAAAACAAAAGAAAACCAAAACTACCCCATCCTAACAGATTTAAGTAAGAAGCACAGTCTTAAAAAAAAAAGAAAAAAAAATAAAAGAAGGAAAAAAAACCCCTCAAACCATGGTGACAGTTATTTGAAGGCATGATGAAAATGAGGCAGCGTTACAGAATTTGTAGTGGATGGAAAGGAGCGAGGAAGATGATGCAGCTGGTTTATGGCCATCCCGCCAGTTGCTAGCTGAAGACCTTGCTGTTGGCCAACGCCATTCAGCCTGTGTAATGGTTCCTCTGGACCAAATGCCATTGTGATGTCCCCAGTGGTGTTCTGGTTGTCACCTGGTGGGAGCTGCCAGAAACTCATCACATGAGTGAGATCCATGAAAGGCAGGCTCGTAGTTTCAGCTGCTGCCTCTGTCTCCTTGTGCACTGGGTACTTGTTAGTATCCCCTACAGGCCCTGAGGAAGCTTCTTCCAGACTGATTTTGTGGAGAGATTGAGGTTCTGTTAATGGCAGGTCCTCGAGAAGATGCACATTATAACCTTTAACATCCACTTTTATTGGTATATTTTTGAGGGGTCCTGCTGCAAATGAGGTAGAACTAAGGTCGTATTTATTAGGCTGATGCAGGTTCAGGTTGTTAGGAACGGCTGTTGAGCATGGTGTGGTATGGACAGCTGGAAGGCTGTCTGCACAGCCCATCCTTTGCAAATGAGGAGAAGATTCAAGAGGAAGAGCAGCTGGTAGGCTTGGCTGGGAATGAAGAGTGTATTCCCCTGATTCTGAACTATTCAAAATCCCATTCTGCACAGAGACACTTTCAGGAAAAGGGGACAGTATGCTGGCATCTTGTTTCAGTCTTAGTGGAAAAAGCTGGTCAAGGAGACCCATTGAGTCACCATTCTGCAGCCTGCTCTTCAGCAGTTCTTGTGGATGGGTCTTCCTAGTATGGCGAGTCAAGTGGTCTTTCCGCCCAAACCTCTGGGCACAAAACTGGCACAGAAAGTCTTTGCAGCCTGTATGAACTACCATGTGACGCCGCACATCTTTACGGGTGTAGAAGTGACGCTCACAGTGGTCACACTTATGTTTCTTTTCTTTTGTATTGCTAGTTGGTCTCCCTGCATGGCTTTTGAGGTGTTCCAACAAAACTTCAGTACCACCAAACTCCTGGGCACATACCCTACAGGTAAGGTCCCCACTGGTGGCTGCATGAAGAGCCAAATGTCTCTTATAGCCTAGCTTGGTGTTGTACTTCTTGCCACACTCTTCACACTTGAAGGCCATCTTGTTAGGGTCATGAGTCTGAAGGTGATTCTTTAGATGGTCTTTCCTGTGAAAGGTCTTTTCACAGTAGCTACACTGGTGAGATTTCTGTGGAGAATGAATGGCTGAGTGCCTAAGGCAAAAAAAAAATAAACAACAAAAGTTATCTGCATTTACATTTACTCTAGTACCTTTACTCTTGCAGCTTTAAGACTTGAAAAAAATGGCACTCTTGGAGAAAGGCATTTTCACAAGTTCTCAGATTATTAGTAATAGCCTAACTTTTTGGGGGTGAGAAGGAAGGTGTGAAAGCAAAGCAGGTTAAAACTGATCAACATAGTCTTACTGAGTAGCTGCCACAACTGCTACTCAGTTTTCTACCAAACCAGGAATATTATAAACTGGAACTCAGGGATTAACTGTCACTAGGACACCCCAAAGTAAAAAGATGTCCTTGGTTTTTTTTCCTCACACCCCCATCAGAAAAGGACTGCCTTCAGAGCTGTACCTGAGCAGTTTATATCTGGAAATGAAGGCTTTTGTGCATCCGTGCTGTGAACACTTGTAGGGGCGCTCCGCTTTGTGCACGTAAGTGTGGACTCTGAGCTTGTTAATGGAATCGAATATCTTCCCACAGAGTCGGCAAGGGTAACTGTCCTGCTGCTTCACTTCTCTTCCCTTCAACAGTGAAGACCGTCCGTTTCTCCATTTAGGTATAAGCCTCACAAGGGCATCACAAGAGCTTCCTGAGCTGGCACAGCTAAGCTTTGCAGCAGAGGAACAGGAAATGGTCCCAAAGCACTGAGCAATGCTTTTGCCTAATGCAGCTCCCCTCAGTTTCCCTTTGAGTTTGCTTTTTGCTTTTATGGGTCCCAGTTTATTTGGTGGTCTGATCCTGGTGGTAAGGACTCGGTCTTTATGGATGCACTGGTGAGATTCCAGCAAAGTAAAAGATGCAAAAGTGCCTCCACAGCTGGAGCATATCCAAGGGTCTGCAGGCCCTTTCTGAAATGAGAACAGAAACAGGTCTTTATTAGCCATCCTATGGAAAGGTCATATTCTCAATTCTCATCTTCTCCTGGACTTTCCCAAGACTTGTTGTCCTTGACGATACTTACTTCAATATTTTACCACACAGCTGTTCAACTGGAAATGGATTCTCTCTAGGAGTCTACAAACTTTAAGGCAAAAAAAATATGGTGGGCTAAATACCAGTTTCCATGGTTTTGTTTAGTGTTTACTGTAACAGTCCTGAGTCCTTCACCTTTGTCTTTCTGTGCCTACTGAATTTCAGAATCTCTACATTGGTTTCTTTTATGGAATTACTCATAAAAGCAGTTACAAATTGTACTTTATCCTTAGACTGATGCCATGAATTGGGTGGGGTACTGCACACAAATGTAGTTTAGCCATACAGAATTTCCCTATGTTTTGGGCTGACTCCATGGTTTACTAGACAGCAATGCTCAATGTCTCCAGGACAGACTTCCTCACATTTGGCATTAGACTTCCTTAAATTCAACCAGAAACACCTTTGGTTTGTGTATCTCAAGCCTATCCTAACTTAGAGGCACTACTGTTTTTTGGCAAGCAGTTCATTATTTGGAAGTATTATTTCTGTGGAAAATGAGTTATACCAGATTCAGTTGAATTCACTTTAAATATTGACATTCTAAAAATTCCAATGAAAAACAACAACAAAAAAAAAGCCCAGTCAGCGATGAAATAAACTTCAAACTAATACATGACCATGTACTTTCTTAGCTGTCTCTCTTGTACATAACCTTCTCATAAACTGTGTTTATTTTCCCTTGCTCTTGGGCTATCTTGCTCTCTCTGGAGAGCATGGTGAGTCTATGTCCACTTTGTCTGTAATTACAGATCGAATCCTCCTCTCTCTTATCCATGTCTGATGCTGTGACTCTCCTACACCTTCTTTCTGGGCCTCACACTGGAAAGCAGCAATGGGATTACTTCCCTTCCTGTAGCACCTCTGAATTCCTGGTTCATTTGTATTTCCTGTTTAACATTTCCTCCTAACTTAGGTATTCATCATGACCACATTTTCAACACTTAACAAATTTTTCCCATCAGTTTAAGGATTCCTACTATCATACAAGGGGAAGCTATTGGGATTAGAAAAGTCACAGCACAGGAAAGACTGAAATAATCAGTGCATCACCTGATCATCTGGACAAAGCATAACAAAGGTGAACTGATGAAAGAAGTCTGAGGCTGGACAGCTTGGTTAGCTGCAAATTAGCCTTTCCAACACATCCCACTTACTTCTGGCTACATCTAATGGCTCCACTGGATTACAAACATAGGAAGAGTAGCCTTTCTCTGAGTAGCTGTTTGGTTAAAATTGCTCTTGGCTTTGTGGTCTAGCTTAGCATTACCTCAGTTACATAAACAGAGAAAGCATGTAAATAAATCATAATTTACTATGTCTGGTGATGGCTTGTACTTACTGCTACTAGAGGCAAAGGACAGACATCAGATTCTTCTTTAATGAAGACTGCAGAAGCTTCCATAAATTTGGCATAATCGGCAGCATACCATACTTTCAATTCCGTGTGGGGTTCAATTGGCTGTGAATGGAAGAAAATAGAACATGTTTACTTGTGTCAGTTTTCCTACACCAAATAATACTCAAGATTGGAGGGGTGAGAGTGTGGGAATTTGGTGTCCTTACCCAAGTTGCACACTTTGAATTTGTTTAAATTATCGATAACTTAGTTTGAAGATTTAAGCACTTTTTGAGCATTGCTATCCCCTGGGGTTTGTCACTTTCACAGTTTCTAAAAGCAGAAATGCGTGTGTACAGATTTTGAGGGAGAGTAGCAGGAGGGGGTGCCTCAGCCCTCATGACCTTTGCTCAGTGAGATCACAGAATCAATTACGTTGGAAATGTATTTGTCTGTGATGTCCAGCCATCCAGCAACCTTTCCAAACAATATCTTGTGCCTATTCCTTGCTGCATAGAAGCTCACTGGACATAACACTTAACTACAGGGTACAGGCAAAGGAAAAATGCATCATGAATGCACAACAGCTTGGATGCCTCTGGGTTATGTTGCACTCACTGAGCACGGATGCAGTGCTGATCAATATGTGGACTGCAAGTGAAATTTGCATGTTTCCATGCACTGGCTTTAATGTGTCAGGCTCACTACGCATGTACTTTGTTGTACTTCTGCCCTCTTTTCGTTGAAGCCTTTGCATACAGGACTAAGGGAGCCCATAATCTGCAGTCTCCCATTCGGTCATGCCTGCCCACATCTTTCCTTGGACTGGACTATGACCTTCTCTGACAAATACTTTCAGTCAATAACACAGCAAACAGAAAAAGAGAGGAGTGATTACACTCACTGGCTAAAGATCTATTAGTTATTTAAAAGCGAAGGAGAGAACTAACTTTGGGGTCACAATTTATATGACTCCATGGCCCTGTACACTATTTTCTTAACCTATAATAAAAACCAACATTGTTGTAGCAGGGGTAGAGCCCATCTGCACTGTACTTGTAGTTTTAACTAAGCTAAACTTGTGCCACTGAAAAGAACAAACTAACGTGAAAGGAGAGCAGCTGAGTCTTATTCCACATGAGAAATATAACATCTTAAAATGCACTTATTTTATACCATTGGTGTTGGTTAAGTGTGGTAGGTGAAAGATGACTTAGATTGCAAATGCTGACAAATGACGGGTAATTGTGTGTATGATGTTGAAAACTGAACTTTGAACTCCCAAGCACAAGCCTGCTTGCCAACTACCACCAGTATGGCTTGGTTGTACATTCTGATTAAGACCTGGCCTAAATAGAAATGGTACATGCTGAATTCTCCACTCAGTAAAAGGCAAGAGACAGAGCCACCTCCAACTAGGAGGTTGATCATCCATTGCACTCCTGCATATAGTCTATTTAAATGGAGGAAACCAAGCCTGAGTTTGTTCTGCACAGACAAATGCCTGGAGGTGCCCCAGGACCTTGGCCAGTGACCCCTGAAGCTGGTACCCAAAAACAGCTGTACAGCATGATGCCATCATCATGTTCTGACCAACATTCCTTGACTACCAGTGATCTCCCCTGTAGAAAGCTGAGACCTAGTTAATGTGATTTTGGGGAGAGAGTAAGTGCATTAGTGTAAGGTAAAAGCTTTTATCTCAGTAAAACTGAGATTAAATACCAGTATCTGAATTCATGGCAAGTTGTCATTTTCTCTGTCTCACCTGTGACAATAAGATAAAGCAATGGCAGTGCCCACGTGATACTCTCCTGTGATCAGACTTAAAATGACTGCAGATTATTTTTACTTTCTTGAAATTCTATACTTTTTAAAAGTACTTATTTCTAGGGACTGCAGTCATTAGTTCAGCAAGTATGCTAATGGTGCTGTTAGCATGTCACTTACATGTATGCTTTTTGCTTTTGTAGTTGCAGGTTCATGTCACTAAAATCCCATTTCTTTGTAAAAACGGTGGGGAGAGAAGTCCCACTGCTGCCAACTTAGCAGACTTTATTCAAAGTATTTTAAGAAGATACGTTCATAAGCAACCCTAAGGCAGGCTCATGCTATGACCAGCAGGGTGTGCCTAAGTGTAGCAAAAGCCTATCACTTTCACTGACCAGGACAGAATCTGCAGGATGCCACAGCACCATCAGCGATACTGAGACATAGGAGAAACAAACCACAAGTAATTCCCTATGATACAGATTTAATGAGCACAGAAAACAGCACATAAAGATTTTACCGAGCACCTGTTCCTGAGCACCTGTTAATGTGCTTGGAATATGTATCCAAAAATGTAATAAAGGAAAGGAACGTGTTTGTTCTTTCCAGGATGAAGTACTGTTGAATGTAACAATGCTAGATAATCTCACCCTGTACGTATCTGGAACTGAAGAACTTTACAACATTCATGTTTAAACACTGCCATCACAAATGATATTTCTGTTTCCCTCTGCTTTGTTTCTTCACTACCCACAGCAGCAAGTACACACCACCTTTTACTGGAAAATGCCATACGCTGCTTGCTTTACTACAGATTAAGTGATATAAAAGGTGGTAT